TTAAAAGATATTCGGAACCTCTTTCCTTGGGGCTTGTTTCCTTTCCATGCATTTCTCTGTTATATATATTGACTTTCGAGTTGCACCATAAAGGAAGAGACAAATCACTACTAAAGAAACTTCCATGTGTCACTGGGATTTAGGAGAACATGGTATGTACGCCACTAATGAAATCAGTCTAAACTGCAGGCTTCAGTAACTCAGTTTGCCCACACAGCACAGCTGGCCTCTGTGTGAACCCACACTCAAACTACAGCTCCATTTAACATCAGCAATTTGGTACACTTTGTATCTGAAGTGTGTGACACTATCCTTGTCCGCGTAAAAACATCATTACAGTGACTGAACCCCTTCACCTGGGTAGTGCTTGGCTTTGGAAAGGAAACACAATCTTTTAACTTGAAATAGTAAAGGCTGCTCTCTTACATGACACACGAAACGGTCTGTAATATAAAAATCTAAGGAAATGACAAACGCTGCTGTCATCATGCTCCCAGTTACATAATTAGTTCTGTCACAACAATGCTTTGGGTCTAGTTCCTCAGTTCAGGTAGGACACTGGGTTAATCTCAGACACATTTTATACACATGATGGATATGAAAAGAGACAAGACCTGAAAGGCTCAGGGTTTGACATCTACAAAACAGCTTGTGTTGGCAGGCAGACACGGCACACTTCAGCTCCTCCTAACCACCAGCTCTGCTGGTGTGAGATAAGGCATCAGAGCAAGCCGCACAGTGTATATCCTTCCAAAATAACAGAATTACACCCCTGCCTGCTGCGGGGACTGATACAGTTTGGTGAACATGGTGACGGGAGATTTTTGTTTCAGTGTCAGCTCTAATGATGCAGCAATTGTAAATACACACATTTTTTAATGCATGGTCACTAGATTACATATTAAAGTGAGGTTAACAGACCTTTGTAGCAAAACAAGTAAAAATATAAGACAATATATAGTGAAAAAAGCTGAAGGTCAAATACACAGCACACCCTTACACTGCAGGCACATTAAGGCTTTTAAAAGCTTGATATATTCAACAATAACACATTATTGCTTCACTTTCACTCATTTTATAAGCTTGAATGTATAAAAGGAAGTGTGTCCAGAGCATTACGTTACAAGGCATCATCCGAACCATACTGCTGAGTCATGCTTTAAACTGATTTGGTTAGTGTGTCCTTAAAAATACATTTGTGCCATTGTTCAGGTGAACTAACTCATTGTCAGAAACAGAGCCAGTAAATGCTGATCGCGAGGGAGCGCTAAATGAAAGTTGACTTTCTGTGGGAGCATCTGGCAGCTCACTGAAGCTCATCACTGAGTCACAGGTAAACACTGCATTAACACAAAACAGTTATTACAGATTGTGTTTATGGAGGAAAAGGCTGATTAATATTATGACAAATCATAACACTGATGAGATGAGAGAGCTATTCTCAGCACTGCTGTAGCCCAATCGGCTCTCTCCGCTAACATCCTTCCCCTTTCTGTGATGACACATTAAGTGTGGCCCTTGCTTCTCATTTATACCATTTAATAATCCACACAACCCACATGGCAGTCTTCATCATAAATCAGTCAACAGAGTGGGCAGACCTTTCACAGGAGTAAAACAAAGAAGCACATACAAAGCTGGCTACAGCTTTGAAAAGAACCCACAAACCTACTGCACTTTCGGCCAAGCCAGCACACCAGCAGCGGGATTATAAAAGGATCAAGATGTAGTGTCGGCAGAATCAGCAGAAAAGCCCATCTTCAGCTGCTGGCTATAATGGAAACTCAGGCTGTGCCACAGACTAGTCTGCTGTAAAGTTGCCAGTCAAGAAGAAAATCTTGCTGGGTGTCACAAAACAGGAATTCAAAAGCAGAAATGTTTGGCCCATGGCCGAGTTAAAAATATCCAGCCCGCTAGGCCAGGTTCCTGAGTCACTGTTGAAAGCTGCAAGTTTCACTATGAATAAAAAAACTGCCCGGAGTGTCGGAAACCAGGGGAAGGATCTTTACACACTTGGACTGGTTTTTCTCAGTGGGTGTCACTCACTTATGAAACAGTAAAACTAGATTCTGATTCGAACCTGAATAACTCGGCCAGAAGATGTGACAGTCAAAGCATGGAGTCATTCATGGGAATTGACAAAATTGGCTTCTAATATGTCAAATTATTGATTGTGATCTTTCACAGATAGTTTTTCTCCATAAAAAAAATTTTTCTTTGGAGCCTCATAAAGAGTGAAAGGGTACTCAGTCAAAAGCAGATGTCCACCCAAGACATTATGAAAACAATTTTCTATGACTAAAATCAGGGTTTTCTGCAGTGAAATACAGAGTGCCCCTGCAAATGTCACATTTTAATGAAATGTAATACCAGGCTAAATAAGCTTTAAGGGAAACAGGCAGTGGGGAACCACTGGGGTCCGACAGAACAAAACAAACAAACAAACAAAAAAAAAATCACTAAAACTGATCTTTAAACTATATACTGGCAAAGTACAGTTTGCATTAATGTTACTCTTCAACTTAATTTCATCCTTCAAATAACTTTTAAAAATAAAATCTATATTGAAAAATAGCTGAAATATAATTTGAGTTGTATTCACGCTGAAATAGCTCATCTATTTTTTGTACTATAATGTGCCCTTGACACAGATCAAAGCCAGCATTTATCTCTGAACAATGCTGACTGTGAACACTGCTGTACAGGTCCTTGTGTAACAGAGAGTCACTGAAGCAGATGAGAGTGCTGAGAGAATGGTAGAGTCGGAGCACAGCAGGGCTGGGACCGCAAACTGGGGCCAACACATGTCACACGACTCAGCATAAGGCTGAGCTAGAAAATCAACAAAAGGTTTGTGATGGCAAAAGGCAGTGATCCACAGACAAATGCAGGATTACATCTCACTCCACCTACTTGGTAAGCAGCAAGCGTCACTTAACCACAGACTAGTCCTAGGAGTTGTGCTTGTACCTCCCTTTCAGCACTAGACTGACTAAATGTTGGGTGCACAAATGACTGTTTTTGCAGCTTTACTTATATAATATCTCAGAGAGGATTGTATCTTTACCTGAAATCCACTTTTGGTTTTTCATTGACTTCCTGAAGCCTCAGAGTAGAGTGACTATCTATCCAGACTTCTGTGAAAACAATGGTTCTGATGCTCCAAGTTGCGCACACCGATCAGCCTTAACATTATGACCACTAACAGGTGAGGTGAATAATACTAATTATCTTGTTACAATGGCACCTGTCAGTGTGTGGGGTATATTGAGCAGCAAGTAAACATTCAGTCCTCAAAAGTTGCTGTGTTGGAATCAGGAAAAACAGGCAAGCATAAGGATCTGAGTGGCTGTGACGAGGGCCATCTGTACCGGGTCTGATATTGACGTCATTCATTCATCAGATATTGGACGGACAGGGCCAATTCACTTACCAAACCATATTCCAGTCCACAGCTGTGAGCCTCAGAGTGACACGAGTGCCAAACACCTGCTTCACTGAGTGCTATGTACATAATGTTATGACTGGTGTGTAGCTCTGTGCATTCAAATTATACACCTGAAAGACAAAACTAAATGTTTCTCACTCGACCCTCTGGATGATGGCAGCTCAGGTGCCACATTAAGAGGACAGAGGTCAGGGAAGACGTCGTCAGTAGTAAATGTAATGATTATAAAAAAAATTATCCTGAAGTTTCCTCTGTTATCTCCCCCTTTGTCTCACATTTCGGAGAAGGGTTTACTTGTCTCCTTGAAAAGTTTGTGATGATTTTATAGCTGACACTGAGCAACAGCCTTAACTAGATGATTGATATTGTTACAGGAGGCTTGACAAAAATGTGATATAAAATATAACACCTTAATTTAGGGTATGCTTTTTTTCCACTCATTTGTCTCTAAATTAACATGATTCATTTTTAATTTCAGATCTGAACACGCAGCCAAAAAAAAACAAGATGCCCACGCCTCTGGCACACTTATTTCCTTCAAAAATACGAGGCTGTCTGATTTGTTCATCCAAAATATATAGTGAGGGAATGGATGTGCTTGAAGGAGGCTGGCAGTGATTCAAAAAGACTAAGATTTGTGAGCAAAAGAAATCGAGATTCTACATAATGCTGTTATCTCGATCAATGCATCTGAGCAGCTTTGTGTGTGACAGACAATTTTTTATATCTTCATGTAACCAAACTACTATAGATCCTTGTGGCCCATTTGTCTCTCTGCACAATGCCCAGCAGTTGACCTATGCAAGCGCACAGCTCATTGCCTGCTGGTGCAACCTCAGGCCAAAGTGACATAACATGGAGGGTTAAGGCTGCAGCTTTGATGAGCATGAGAAACCCACAGCACCAACATCGTGCAAAGTGACTACCAACTAAAAGCCAGTGACACTTTAGAGTACCACACAGAAAAAACTGTCTCCATCTGATTACCGCTGTGTTGTCGCCATGATCAATGCCGTTTTAAGGGAAACAGCATTAAACATGTCTTGCCTTGGCTGAAACAAAAAAAAGTGGGCCACACGTATCAGTGGAATGTCAACTTCTGTGCAATGGGGAACTAAGCTTGCTTTCTCAGCCCTCCAGTCTTTTCAGAGCATTCTCTTTAAGCGGGCACCAGCTTCAATGAGCGTCTCACAGTTAGCACCAACTCCTGGGAGATGAAGGCAGCCAATGCCCTGGAAAAGCCCAACTCTTCAAAGGCATGTTTCACTGTTCCTCTAGAGAAACTGATGTAATCTCAGTGATGTCTGCAGTCTGACAGTGGATGAGGAAGCTGGGGAGCTCCACAGAGAAGAAAAACAGGGCTGACAGGAGTTAGATAAAACAAGAACCTCTAAAACAAAATGCAGTTTTCAAGAAATGAGAAGCTACGTAGGCAGGGTGATGGATTCACACCAACCCCCAGCCAAATGCTGGTACATTCAGACGGCGGGTGAGAAACTGTCTAGCCGCCCTAGAAGAAAAACACAATATCTGCTGAAACCCTGAGACATTTTAAAATCATTACTAATACTTATTAACTCAAAACATCATGGATTAAGAGTGATAAATGGAGTGGTTACTATCTTATGCAGCATGTTTTGGATTAACAGCTGATGCCTGACCTGAGTCAGTCTAAGAGGAGCCAGAACAGCAGGAAGTGATCACAAGCCAAACAAGTCCAGGCAGAACCAGTCCATAAGCTCCTCACCGGATATCTATCAAGCCTCCAGTAAACAACGCCCTTGGGTGTCATCATCATCTACCCATGTCTCTTCTGCCAGCTGTTTTGGCAAACAGACACTCACTGTAAACAGTGACAGCTAAGTTACAGACAGTACTGATGGACAACAGGTGGATTTATTCCTCCGAGTTCAGTGAGTAAAGCCAAAGCCCACCGTTTCCTAACAAGTTCAAGTAGTAATGCATACCACTTAGGACTGTAGGATGAATCACTTTGCGAGGGTGATTTAGATCCCTGTGTGATCTCAGTCGCACATGACAATAATTCTTCCATGTTTGCATTAGCAGTGAGATCAACAAAAGGAAAACCATGACTAGCAGGGCTGTTCTCCTTTTACATAATGTAAGCATTAATAACAACAGCAGCAGCTGTGCAACAGTTAACATCAGATCTAGCAAAACTGAACCACTTCACTGAGGTAACATCACCTTTCTTTGCTATTATTTCATGGTTTTCAGCTGCTGCGGCCATCATTATCCAAGCTTGTTGATTGGCAAAGCTCACACATACAGGCGTCTCCAAGGAAACAGCGACAGCTTACATCACTGTCGTAACTCCAGAGAAGTGCTGCCGCTGGTGTTTGAGTGACAGCAGAGAAAGCACTAATCTCAATTTTACAATTTAGGCAAAGAAAAAAGTTGAATTAATATATAGCCCAGCTGGAAATCACATATTTTTTTTAAATCACAATTATGCTGATATAGCACACCTTTACTAACATGTATTTGATTTCTATATGCTTTCTCATTCACAGGCATGGAGCATCAACAACAAAGCCTTGTGGTCCATATGTACAAATTCAGCCCTGTGGCAAACTTTTCACAGAATCTGAACCAAACTGTCCTTTAAATAGCAGTTCTTAAGGGACCAAATGTGCTCTTATGTGGACCAGGCAACTATCTCTTCTATAAGACATGCCTACTTCTCCATCTTTGTTTTTGTCTTGGTCATGAGTCCTTCATCTGCTCTGTGTAATGGAGGCTCTTAATACTCTTAGAAGTGTTTTTCAATAAAATCAAAAAGATCCCTGATTTCTGCTAGTTTAAGCCGGACCTGGATGCTGAATTCATTTTATAATAATTGTGACTTGTAAAGGTTGCTCCATTTTATCAGTTGACACTAGACGTTTTCAACTTAAAAATCAGTGGCACTTGAGCAAAATATTTTGGGGACAACTCTGCTCCATGTTGTGGCACTGCATCAGCAAGCCTTCAGCATTATACAACAGGAATCAAATGTCTACCAAATAGAAACTCAACACTGTTCTGGTCTTGCTGTACACAGATAAATGTAGCCCTAGTGAGGCTGTGCTTCTTATTTTGTTACAGTGGCTCAGGCTGTTGCATCCCCCACTGTTCGATGGTGGTAAAGATGGTAATCGAAGCTTAATACATGACTGCACTCAAGTCACTCTGGATAAAAACATCTAGCAAACAGCTTAAATGTTAAGTAGCAAGTAAATAAGTCTGGCATTGACACTCAGAAAACAAACAATAAAGATGCTATATCTACCAAGGTCGACTCGCCAGTTAACAGTAAACAAGCCCCCGGTCGCTGCGGAGACAAGCTCAGCACCAGGCTCTTAATTTCTCCTACCTGCTGTTCTCTCTGCGCTCCGCCAGCATCTCAGCTCATCAGCAGCTAAAGAGAGAAAAAATTTCCACAATAAACCAAGACCAACTCCTTTTCCACAAGAACCTGTCGTCTTTCTGATAAGGAAATGTGACAACAATAGTGTCATGCATTCCCCTCACAGCAGTGTGAGAAGAGGGGAGGCTAAGCGTGGAGGCATGGCCTGTCTTCATTGGCAGCGCCAGGAGCTTTGTTTGCCAGCCAGCCTTCTGTGCGTGTGTGTGTGGCCTGTCGGGACTGGCACAGCTGATCCCCCCCTGACACCGGGTGGGGTGTACAGGGCTCTGGAGGAAGAGGAGGGAAGAGCATAGTGTGTGTGGAGGCTCTGGCCATCACAGTCAGAGGAACAAACCATTTAGACGAGAAAAGGGGGGAACATGCACAACCCACAGCAGGAAGCGCCATTAAAGATACATCTTATGGGGATTTAGTCATCACCATGTCCACCCAGGCCCACTGAGTTCATATCAGCTCTGTATTACCATGACATCAGATGCTTTCTAAGACATGTAGGGAATGGCAAAGTTTTTCAAGAGCCATATCTCAGTCATATATATATGTAATAAACAGCTGAGTTTACAGGACAAAACCAACATATTGATATCTGATGTAGATTATTTTAGTCAGTAAATCTATAAAATGCAATAACTTATGAAAGAAAGCTCATGAGAACTTAATAGCTGAGAGGCACCATGTCCTGTCCCATTTTCACTGAATTTATAAGACAATATGTAAAATCTTAGTTAATGCAGCTTAAAGAACTCCTGTCCTAGACACAGTGTTTAAATGTCCTGAGAAGTGAAACAATTTCTGGTTCACTAAGAAGACACTGAAGCGTGGTTTTCAGCAGGGACACACTGGGCTATATGGAAATGAGCTCAGCAGGGAAAGCAGATCATCTACCTCGCTGAATGAAGCCGGCTGTACAATCTCCTACTCAACATACCACCAGTGGCAAGGTTGAATTTATAATGCAAAGTGAAAAATTCTGCAGTACCAGAAGCACAGCTGCAGCCTGAGAGATCTGTTGTGTTGAAAGAGCCTGAGGGGTTCTCGGTAACTTCACTCACTCCACAGTTAGGATGCAATCTGGGCTATTCTCTACCTAAAGCTGTACTTATGATGCCAACCTGACAGCTCCCAATCATGCATTTCAATTTTAGTTTCCATTTAGTTTTAAAGAAAAACACAACAGAACCCAGAATGTTCATAAATAATGCAGAAAAACTGTTCTGTTGATCAACATTAATAGCCATAAACCGCACGAGATCACAAATATTTACGATGGTCCAACAGTTGTTACCCATCCAGTTTTAAAATCCTTCAGCCAGTCCAATAAATACAATACAATATACAGTATAACTCATTACTATGGTTTCATATGCAATCTGACCCTAAAGCTGCCATAACCAGCTTCAAGAAATCTAACTATTCCTTTATTTATTCAATTTTTTTAAGAAAATAAAAAAGAAAATGTTTCATTATGTTCAGGCATTATTCAATATGTTTCTTACTGTCAAGAAATACCCTGAAAAGACCAAAAAATATGTTCATCTGTGTCTCAGTGTTTTCTGACTTCCCTACCTGGTCTGGAGCACCAAGCTCCAAGCCTACAGAGGATCCAAACCTTCAAAAACAGGGCACAATTACATCATTTCATTTTCAATAAAGGCTCACTAATTCCTTAACACAGCTGGACACTGCAACTAGCAAATGTTAATCAAACAGGAGGAAAGGGTGCAATTGTTGGGGACAATTCAATTTACTAATAGGCTACAATTGTGATGCACCAGTAAGGAGTTCCAGATGGTGTATGTGGAACCCAGTCAGTTATTTGCAGTGTTCACTGTAATGTAATGGGACAACAGTAATAAATCACAAAAAATAACTTCATTAGGGTCACTTCACTGGTTCTAGTCTTTTCATAGGATTTGTTGACAGCAAGAAATCAGCTTTAACTAAAAGGAATTAACTCACTAAAATCGAGCATGCAATAAATTAGCACAGCAATTCTTTGTCTGGTTTTACATGTATATTACAAACATACATGGTGAATGAGCATACAGTTGCACAGTATGTGTGTGTTGACACTGATGTCACTGCTCTGCTGGATGTCATGATGTGCAAGCCGTTCCCTGTGGGGCTAATTAAGAATGATCCTCTCCTGCCTTATGACTGCACACTTCTCAAGAAAGACAACAACCGTAAACTGCAACCTAAGTACGGTGTCTGATGTGGTATCTTCACTGAGAAACACACACACACAGACACACACACACCAGACTGCCTCTTTCTTTGTGAAGCATTTTACATGGCTGGACAAAGCTCACTTGGTGCATTGAGAGGGAAATTAGCATTGCACTGCATTATCCAGGAGATTTTAATGCAGCTATCCAGCCACACTTAAATCAATAACAAGAGCCTGACAAAGTGGAGAATACACACCACTGCTCCCATCCCACCACAGAGAAACAAAGGTGTAGCCCAAAATGCAATCCCTGATGGTAATCTTTGTGTTACTTGTCTGTGTGCATGAGTCTTTGCTGCATAAAGCTTTGGTCTCATCCTGTCTTATGAGAACCTCTACTCTTCTTCTTTTTTCCTTCAAAATACTTCAAAATGTTGTCATCTCACCTACAATTCACAACAATCTGAGAAGGCTCAGACAAAGCTTTTTAGACAGATGTCAAACAGGTGTTTTCCAACTTGTTGGAAGGAAATAAGTAGACTACTTAGTATTACTATAATTATCGTGTCTGTGTGGGTCAAAGGTTCACATTCCAGTTTCACTAAAAGAATTATGAGTGACCATGATATTGCTTTTGGCAGACTAATCCTTAAAAAGTTTAAAAGAATTGAGCTGCATGTAAAATCCATTACACTGCTAGTAAGTGTGATTAAACAGGATGCAAGTCAGCATGACAGTGTGAATATTAAGGGAAGGAGGTATGATTTATATGTTTCCTGCAGCCATTGCAGCAGGAGTCTCAGACCTGATACTAAACATAAACACATCACTCATGATACTGACTACCAAGCTGGGAAGTGCTGGATACAGCTGGGGATGATCACTGGTCAGTTTTAAGATGTTTTTTGCGAACCTAAAATAAATACATTTTAGATTTCTCTGCCCAACTTGCTGTGAATCTCAGCTAACCTTCCAGGCGCTGAGAAAAATCACAATTATTATTGTGTGGAGGAACCAAACTGGAAAGTCTGGACATACAAACGACACAATATTTCACCAAATTATTTTGACTCAACATCAGGAAGTTCTTAATAGTGAAGATTTTTCCCAGTACTGCTCCTACAAGCAACTCAATTTGGAATCTAGCTTTGGCATCTCACACACTTTGTCACATACAGTATCCTTCTATGAGGCAGTATCTGAAGTACTAGTAAGGACAAACCCTGCAGAAGTAAAACCATTTCCATCATGTGATTTGATCAGTGCGTGTGCCACACCTCAACATTGCCAATGGGAACAGTAAATACTGCATGCGCGTGACAAAGTTTGTAATAACATTAACCGTACCACACATTTAGCCCAAGGCCGAGCTGCTCAGGGGTAGGTAGCTGGCTGTACAGGCAGGCAAGCAGTCAGCCATGTAATCAAGAACAATGCACCGGACACTGACCACTCATGGGTGACTTTAAATTGCACATAAGGCACAATAATCACGAAAAACGGCTGATGAAACTGCAATAAACATTCCAATCACTGCGACTTTAATATCTGCAAACCGCGTATATTACAGCAACCGTGTTTGGCCACTCATAATATAGTTAGTTGCTGTTGAGTAATAAATCCAGCCAGCGTCACATACCGTGTCTCTAACAGATACGCCGGTCTGCTTCTGTTCCGCTGCCTGAGGAGACCGACTGAAAACACGACATCAACAAACCTGTAACGTGTACAAGAAATGCTGCCAGCTATCGCCGGCTAGTTAGCGACCAGCTGACCGCACTAGCATCGCAGCATCTGAACGACAACTGTCAGGCTAAACGGTGACGTCCGAGTGACTGGCCTTCAGTAAATACGCTGCAAATAGAGAAGCGGGCTTGTGTTCAGTATCAGGACTAGCTATGTAATGTCTTCCTGGACATTAATGCTGACATGCTAACATTAGCTTCAGTGTTGCAGTGGTTGAAAATAACGTTAACGCAAGCCGAGGTGGACATTCCTGTCTATGCTAACTCGCATGCTAGGCAGCTAGCAGCGCAGTATTAGCTAGCCGCTCCAGAGACCACTGTGTCTGTCGTGTATCCGCCTAACACTCACCAGTAAGCTGCGTTTACGGTAAAATTCTTCGGTTCTGACGGTGACGATAACTTCCAATGTGTCAATTAAATCAATGCGGGGCACTCTGTGTATATCCATATGTCACAAACGATGCTCTAATCCAAGAATAGTTGCTGCTCCCTCTCCTTCCTTCTGCCGGTAGCCATTTTTCCCTCAACATCCAAATATGCCGAGCTCGTCCCAGGCAGGTCCCAGCGCAGATTTTCCTCCAAACAGCATCCTCCTCTCAGCCCTGACCAAGACCACATCGGAAAGGCAAATGTGCCATCTGTTGGATACGTGGAAAACACACTTCATGAAACGGATTTAAAAGCCACACTGGTAGAAATTTTTCTCTTATGCAGAAGTACGTAGGAAACCATAAAACCCATTTAAGAGAAGAACAGACAGCTTTAGCACATTCCAAACCCAGAGACAATTCAATGGGCAAAGATAAACAACATTAAAAACCATACCCATTAAAGACCATAATAAAATCAATTAGGATAAAATAAAGAATAAATATTGTTCAAATGAGATAAAATGTAAACACAAATAGATAAAATCGATAAAAGATATGTTGTAATTTGCGCTGAATGCTGAAATGCAGCAGAAACAAATAAATGTAAGACATCATATATTTCTTTTTCATTGTTAAACATTATTTCTATTTATTCATAAAAGGTAATGTTTTGCCATCTGTTATATAGTATATGTAATATTTTCATGCATAGACTGCCATCACCAATAGGCCTATATGTGCTGTTGTATGTTTTCTTATTTCTTACTGACAGCTTACTTTCTTAATGAACTTAAAATTTTTATTGTGCTTTATTTTCTGATTCTGATAAATAAGATTTTTATGTTTTAAGTACATTGTTTCTCGCATCAAATACTCCCTTTTATAATGCTAATTAGCAACATTAAAAAACTACATTTCTCCTCAGTCATTCAAGAGGTTTTATTCTTGTTTCATGAACAAATTCATTCATTAATTT